CCCCACTGGTCCACAAATGAGATTGGACCATAGTGCTTTGAGCATGCTATAAGCATAAAAGTAGGAAAGTAGTGCTATATAAAAGCTATAAAGTATAAAGTAAAAGTAATAGATATATATTTTTTTTTTTTTGCCTTGTACATACAAAGATGAAAAACAAAGCAAATATTAATTTCTTGATACAAAAAAAAATTAAACTTTAATTACATTAGAGGAAGGAACTATGGCTTTCCCTATACATTGTTATATTTTAAAGTTTTGACATAAGTTGCTAATATTTCTCTGCATTTCAGGTTTGGTGTGGAATCATGAGACCAGAGACAACTATCAATAGAATAAAGATAGGTTTTCATAGTCCTGGGAGATTTAGGTAAAAGTACTTTAGTTTGTTTAATAGATATTTAAAATGTTAGATATTTATTTGCAAGAATTCCCTAAAAGAGAGGATTCTATATTAAGTTCCTAGCTTACAAATGATTACCATATTATTCTTTCTTTAAATTTTTTAACAATAGATATTTGGAGGGGGAAAATTTTGTTTTCGTTCAATGACAGTAGCCCTACTTTGTCAACATTTCCTGAGCAATTCGTTTTTAATTGTTTAATAAAAACCCTTGTAAACTTTCTGAAAAAAATAGAAATCAATGAAGATGTCCACATTATCCATGCTGTGTGCAAATTTTGTTTTCATAATAATAATAAGTTTCAAAGCTAATAAATGAAAAATTTTCAAATTGTATGTCTTTATATATTTTTAAGCCTTAACGAAGCATGAGCATCAGATAAACTATTTTAAGAAATTGTTGCAAATCTCATCTCTTTCTATAGCCAACAGTAAATGAGGGTGTTGTGTGGTCACCACAAAATGACCCCCTTTACTTTACCCCCAACTTTGCGGTGTCATTTAGATTTTGGTTGACCTGGATTTGGGTTGTCCTAGGGAGGTAATAAAACTTCTGATTTAATCATTTGAGCCTTGACCTGGAATCATGATTTCCTCTTTTCAGAAGCTAAAAGAACTTTTTTACTGTCAGCATGCACCAATCATTTAGGCCTTATGTCATAGCATAGTTAACAATTCTTGAGTCCCAGTTGCTCTCATTGACTTATGGTGTTTCATAAAAAAAAATCCTAAGGAAATGAGTAAAAAGCAACTTTACTTTACTTCATAATTGGCTTAGCGATATAGATAGAATATTTTTTTTAGCCATTTTGTTTAGCACTGGAATTTTTATGTTTAAAGGACAAGTCATTTTCTGTTAAGATAGATTGTTTGTTCTTGTATTATATGTTATTTTCAAAGTTTATATCAACTCACTCTGGTAAAAAGTGTGTACACGTTATTTCTTCCACACCCTATCTCGGATCAATCTGAAATTTTCTCCTTCTTTTCATTGTTAGTCTAGATCTATTACAAATTTAATTACATGACTGATCCAAAGTAATTGGTACAACTATTTTTAATATAAGCTTTGTTTATTAAAAAAAAGTATTGTCTGTTTGTTAGACATGTTTTGGATGTTCCTTCAGACTCAAAGTTTTTGCATCCTGTCTCAAACCTTTCCTAAGGTATGATGGCAGCAGGATGGCTTTGAATCAAGTACCTTCGAGACAACAGTCCAGAGCACATACCACATTTCTAGGCAGCCATTCATTCTTGTAGAATTGATGCACCTACTTAGCTTGCAATGTTAATTCACTGGCCATTCAATTTCCTTTTTTTTCAGAGTCATTGGAACACTTCAAAACTTACCAGCCTTCTCTGAAGTATTTAACTGTCCAGTAGGCTCTTACATGAACAGAAAAGACAAGTGCACTGTGTGGTGAAAAACTATTTTCTTTTTCTTTATTTATTGAGATATAGCACATACGTTGACCTCTTCATCACACAAATGTATGCTCACATGACCTTCATTGTTGCCTGTCAATGTCTCATTGGAACATATATGGATATATGGTCAAAATAATTTAGATGCATATTATTAGTAATCCTTTTTTCTTATCTGAAAGTTGTTTTTTTCAAATAAAAGCTTATGCTATTGGTTAAATTTGATTCAAAGAAATGATAGATTTACATAAGAAAGTTTGAATTTTAAAAGCATCATGTCACATGTCTACTATAATGTCTCACAGACTAGCATTTAATTGTGTATTCCTTACAACAATTATTAATGTTCATTTAGTTTCTGAAATTTGTTTTTAAGTAAGTGCTCCAATTTCTTATTTATAAATGATATTGGAAACTATTCTCAGACAATGGGGAAGGAAATGTATACATTTTATTATTTCATCCACTCTAATATGTCTGATAAACAATAAAAATTAGTGAAGAATATTTGCTGCACTCTGAGATAATGCTACAAGAAAAATTACTATTTTCCAATTGGATGTCTAGACAACTTTTTTTTTTCTTGCTTTTACAATAATCAATGTTTTTAAAAAAATGTGTAGATGACTAAAATGATTTTAAAAAAATATAAGAAAAAAAAAATTTAGTTAACCTGAAAACAAATCATAATTAAGAAAAGTACAAAAATGATACAAAAGTTTAAACATATCGGGAGTGATTATAATTTCAATCCAACTTTGTTTTTTAGCCTTCAGGTTCCACTAAGTCTGTTGCTGGTCAGGATTTCTAATAATAATTGTTAAGCACTTACCAAAAAAGAAAAGAAATATTTATCTTGCATAAAATATATTAATTAGATTATTAGCAAATAATATTTGTTTAATTTGTTTCTTGTTCTCAGTATTCATGTTGTTTAGAGTGATTTGATTTTTCTGCCTTTCTAGTGAATTGTTGGTCTGTATTTGTAGCGAACAGTATATTTTTTTTTGTCTCTAATGTTAATGCAGAAATGCAGTTGTAGCAACACATAACTCTGCTGCACTGCAAATGAGTTATGAATTAAGGCCCTCTTTGATTTTAGTTTTTATATTAGTTCTTTTTGTTTTAATTATATTTTTTAAATGTTACATAAGTTTTGTAAGTAGAAATTTTAATTGTATTGAATAATGATAATGAAATGTATTTTAACAATGAACTTGGTTGTTGGCTGATAACTCAGTGTGTGTTATGAGCTATTTACTTTGTTTTGTAAAATCTTCTTATATTTTTATACAACATTGTACACATGATTTATAGCATGAACTGTTATAATATGGATTTTGTGTATAGAATAATTGATTACATCCTCATAATTGTTGGTCACATTTATTTTTTTTTTGTCAGCATTTTACACATGATATGTATTTAAATATATGTTTGTATACAATTTTTTGTCTTGTGTTTATGTACAATATTTACAGATAATAATATTTCTACTAAGATGTTAAATTTAACAATTACATCAAATAATTTTAAAAAACAAAGAGGAACAGATTACAATTTTAACCCAATTTCTATATATTTGAATCTTTAAGCAAGAATTTTGAATATTATTGTTCTTTGTTGTCACAAGATGTATTTAATATAATGTAAGTATTTTACAGTACAATTGATTATAACATTTTTTGCTTATATATTGAAGGAAATTACGTTTTTAAACAGATTGTAGAAAGGAAATTTTGTAATATTAGATATTGCAAAAAATTGTCTTTTTTTTTTTAACTAAACCTATGTAAGAAATATCTCCTTGGTAACTTTTTTTGTTTGCAAGTATATTTTGTTTTATTCTGGCTGCAACTGTGAACAAAATCACTAGAACTATGATATTTGATTTTTTTTTTTTTCATATTTCACCACCTAAGGAGCAGTCTGTGAGCTTTCATTAAATCACTAGCAGTAATTCAAATGATTGAAATTGAAAAACACTTTCAGAGCTGGGACAAATCCCCAAAAGTCTGCAGAGGATGAGAGCACATGAGCTGCCCTGAGCATCCTGTGATGAATGCTAGCTAACTATTATAGATCAATTGCTGGACAGGCTATTGTCCAGTAGATTTGCACTTTGCATGGTTCAGGCCAAACTATTTTATTTTTTGCCTCCGCTGTGAAGATAAATAGGAAACTGTGTTTCATTTTCTTTTATACACCCAGAATTTGCTGAACTCCATTTCAATAGGTTTAGGAAGCCACATGCTCTAAACTTGTAGTTTTTTTTTGTCCAGGGCTTTTAGAAAAAAGGATCTGAGCCTCTCAAGCCCGCACTCTAATGAAGCTTGGCGGTAATGATGGCTTACTACTATTATCCTTCACTTGTATCTGTAAAATCTATACATTTTTTAGTACTTGTAACTTTATTTATATCAATCAGTTTTGAAAGAAAATGTCTACATTCATTGCCCTTCCGTATGCCTATCTGTTGTGACATGATGTGATTCAACTTACTTTTACATCTGTGATTTTTTCATCTCTAATAAAATCATTCATATACATTGTTTTTATTCATTCGAAAAAAAGAAATTGTATACAATTTCTTAACACTACTACTATGTATTTTCCCTTTAACCCATGCTTTGTTACAGAATTAGTAAGTAGTTATTAGTATATTGGAAACTATGTAAATGATAAGAAATCAGTTTTAATTTTTTAGAATTCTGTGGTTGTGGTGATACGTCTGTGAAAGTTATTAGCAACCTTAAAATTAGAACATTTTCATGTTTAAAACATCTCAGCTTCTAGTTTGGGGTTCCATCCAAGGCAGATAAATGGTACTTAAAGTGTAAATAAGTTATGTCCCATATAGGTGTGATTGTTGTCTAGAAATGTATGAAGACAGTGTCAAGAAAAAGAAGACAGTGTATTATATTACTGTAAATAATAATAATACCTCGTGTTTATATTTTGTAATCATATCTTTAATTCTTTTCAATTCTCTAAGGCTTCTCAAACATATTTTATACGGTACATTTAATAGCATAATTTTCATCCTTATATTATCATTTTTCAAATTACTCTTGTACTGTTGCACTTCCTCCTCCTGCTCTATTTCTTTGTAAGAAATTATAGTTTTATTAGAAACCTATTAGCTCACCTTCTGTTGTTTCTATATAGCATTTGCATTTATTTAATATAAACTGTCCCAGAAATCAACTTCTTGTCAATCCCAATATTCAAGCTGCAACATTGTTCACATAGAACTTCTTGGGACTGCTTTATCTAATGATGTTTACAATTAGATTGGAGCCTATCATATCTGTAACCTAATTAGGCAACTCTGAGATCAAGGTTTACGTTAAGGTTCTTTTTTTTTTTAATTGTTTAAAAGGACTTCTTGTTTTCTTTTATGTTATGTTATTTTTTTAAGCTTTAAATCTTCTTTTGGCAGTTGTCAAAACATTTTGAAAGAAGAAAAAAAATGGACCTCATTCACCAATCGTAAGCAAACAACATTTAGACACGTGATAATATTGATAAAACAACGAAAAAAACAACTGTCACGCCTGTGTGTATTTCGTAATTTGTATAGAAGAGATAGAGAATCACGTGACTAAATGTTTTGTTTTTTTTACGATTGGTGAATGAGGTCCATTGGACGACTATTCAAATAACTTCATAATTTCCTATTCAAAACATTTGACATCATTACATTTTATCTAAAGAATGGCACGGAAGAACAATTGAAAATATGTAGATCTATGTTTTGATATTTAGAAAGTCCTAATTTTAAGTCTATGGTAGAACTTCAAATTGGTTAAGGGAACTTTTGCATTTTCTGGACATGTTCTTTTGTAGCTTTAGGGAATTAGATCTACTGCTTTCTAACTGCGGGCCATCCCATCATTCTAGATTAATATAAAGTTTTGATTTTAACGGAAAAAAAAGGAAAATTCTTTTATTTGTATTAAGCATAGACTCTCACTTTTTTTTTGTACATATAGCAGTTTTATGCATCGTTTGTATGGAGATTTGTTTTAAATTTATTTCTTGTCCAAACCATGTTTCCTAGACAAGCATATTGTCATGGAAACAGGTTTGCTGATAATCGATGTCTTGCTTTTTTTTTTCTTTAAACAGTAAATAAATTGTATTTTCAAAATTTTTCAGTGTTTGTGTGTGTGATTTCAAATCATGTAATTTTTTTTTTGTTTAAAAGTGTTTACCTTTACCTATCCCTTAGTTTGTTGGACCGTTGAGGCACAAAGCAAGATTAGTCGACCGTCTTTCTCCACTCCTCCCTGTCTTTTGCCTTGTTTAAAATCTCTATCAATGGTAGGCCCGTCCATTCTTTTATGTTGTCCTCCCATCGCTTTCTCTGTCTGCCTCTTCTTCTTTTTACTGGTACTGTTCCCTGAAGGAAGGTCTTCGCGAGCCCCATGGATCTTGCAATACGGCCATATATTTTTCTAACGTGTTACTTTGTTTAATTCATCTCTGGCATGGCTATGTACCGTAGGACTAAGATCTAGATCTAGATTACGGTCTAGTTTACGCCGTCTGCTTCACCTCTGCTTCCGGAAGTAATCTTACTTCTAATAAAACTTGTCGGCCAGATTGGGCGTACTCAAAAGCTATCTCAGCAACTGCGGAGAAGGATTCAAAGAATCGCTAGATGGCGAGAGTCTCGTTTGGCGACACTAGAAGAGAAGCGGAAGGTGTAGCCTACTGAGGAGGAAAAAAAAGTATCCTTGAATTATGGCAACAAGAAATGATGAATGTTTATTTTTAATACAACAGTACTAGACCTACAAGTGGGCCACGAAAGAAGCCATGCATTTATAAGTTCATATCAGCTCCTTCTCCAAGCTTCTTGTGTAGTAAAGCTTACTCTGTTTTGATGCAGTTTTCCAATTAGTCACAAAAAGCCGAAAGTAGTTTACCACACTAAAGGACGGGATAAAATGCTCAACTACGGAAATTCTTGGCTCAATAAATAAGAGACCAATATATAATAGGCCCTACTGCTTTCCGCACTGTGCCTAAAATAGCCTTGCAGGGTAGTGTAAATATTAGTATCTTATCTTATAAACTTCAGACGTTACTTCCAAAAATAAGATGATTACGTCCTACGCGTGTCCCTAGGTCAATCTAGTTATGCATGACAATCAATGACATAATGTCATTGGTTTTCCTGGCTGATTCAGGTAACCCATTCCTAGTAGCACTAGGGAAGGAGTATTTGTACATAAAGGGTTACTGCGTACCACACCAAATAGTTTCCAGAACAGGTAACATACACCATGGAATCATTTCAGTTGAAAGATCAATAAATAAACAACATTTGTGAAGCCGATTGGCAGTAATATTATACTTGTAACTTGAAGATTGTTGCACACTATCCAAAGCTCCCGCGGGACGAAAGGGATGGCGGCCTTCGAACCCGGGACATTCAAGAGCATCAAACGACAGTTTAGAACGCATACCATACAGAAAAAATCCAACAAAGCATTAGGGTTTATTAAAAGAAATTTCTATAAATCAAATAAGAACATAAAACTAAAATGTTATTTAACCTTGGTTAGGCCAATAATAGAATATGCATCCACCGTGTGGGACCCCTCAACTCAAGAAAACATTAAGAAACTGGAACAAACACAAAATAGAGCAGTGAGATTCATAACAAACGAATATTCACATTTGACTAGGGTAACACCATTAGTAAAATCACTAAATTTAGAAAGCCTTCAGGACAGAAGACTCAAAAGTAAAGTAGCAATTATACATAAAACACTGAACCATAATCTTCAAATACAAAAACATATTCTATTATTGGCCTAACCAAGGTTAAATAACATTTTAGTTTTATGTTCTTATTTGATTTATAGAAATTTCTTTTAATAAACCCTAATGCTTTGTTGGATTTTTTTATAGTTTCATCAATATGTGGATTCCATGACAGTTTTTCATTTATTATAACACCTAGGTATTTTGCGTTTTTAGTCTGTGTTACTGGTTTGCCATGAATAAAATAAGTGGAATTAATTTGTTTTAGTTTTTTTGTTACTCTTAACAACTGACATTTTTCTGGGTGGAACGACATGCTCCAATTTGATTCCCATTTCTGTAATTCATCTAATTCTCTTTGTAAAATATCTGTGTCTTGTTTTGTTTTTATTGTTCTATATATTATGCAATCGTCTGCAAATAATCTGACTTTTGTTCCTGAACTAATGCAATTTGGTAAATCATTTATGTAAATTAAAAATAGTAGTGGACCCAAAGCTGTTCCTTGAGGTACACCTGAGTTTACTGTTATTGGTGTTGATTTAGAGCCATTTATTATTACAGTTTGTTCTCTCCCTATCAGAAAATCTTTAATCCACTGATGCAGTGGACCGTTAATGCCGAAATATTTTAATTTTTTAAGCAAACTATGGTGGTGAACTTTGTCAAAAGCCTTGGAAAAATCTAGTAAGATAGCATCTATTTGTTCACTATTATCTAAACCTTTTGAAAAATCATCAATTAGTCCTATTAGTTGTGTTTCACATGATCTATATTTCCTAAAGCCATGTTGGTATGGGGTGAGGACATTATGTTTGTCTAAGTGGTTTATGATATTGCTACATATTATGTGTTCTAGTATTTTACATGTGATGCTGGTAAGTGATACTGGTCTGTAGTTTCCTGGATCAGATTTTTCTCCTTTTTTAAATAGGGGGGTGACATTAGCTTCTTTCCAGTCCTTTGGTACTCTGCCCTGGTTAAGCGATGCTTGAAAGAGTATTTTGAACACTGGGGCTAGCTCATTGCTTAGTTCTTTGAGTAATCTAGCTGGAATACCATCAGGTCCAGACGCTTTATTTGGTTTGGTTTTGGCTAATAGTTTTTTAATTCCATTTTCTTGTACTACTAAATCTTCTATGTTGTCTACTTGGTTCAAATTAAGAAATATGTCTTTGTCTCCTGGGGCTGAGAATGCTGATGCAAAGTATTTGTTTAGGATGTTTGCTTTAGTTTCATTATCATTATGTATTATGTTATGTTCATCTTTTAATGGCGCTATGCCTGTTGTTTCCATTTTCTTAGACTTAATGTATGACCATAGGTTTTTGTTGTTATCTTTAGATATTACATTGTTTATGTATTCACTCTGCAGCTGTCTGCTTACTTTTTGGGTTAGGTGTTTAATTTTTATATACTTTTTGTAAACTCTTTCTGCCTTGGTACATAATATTATTATTAGTGCAAAGCGACAAACCAGGAAAATTCCGTGACTGAATCCGTTTGTGACAGTCTAAGCAACTATTTGGTTATTGCAAGTGTTCTAGTCCTCCGTAATTACTGCTTTTCGATTTTTCATGCCAAATCTTTTATGCAGAACAATTACAATACAGTATATTTTTATAGTTCGTCCATCGTGGTTCGATGATGACCACTTTGTCATCCAGGGGGCCTGAGGGCCTTATACTGGGGTTTTATACCTCCTCGTGTGGCTGGTGAGACCCACTCACCTATGTGAACCAAAAATGTTCGGCTGCACACTGGGCAGGTTATTCCAGCTGGAGCTAGTGTCATTGGCCTTGCTTTTCTTCTCTGGCGTTTTTCTTCTATCAGCGTTGTTCTCATTTCCTCAGCAATCTGTGTGCCAGTTTTCACAACGCGACGGTTAAATTCTTAATTTGACCGTTATAATCTTTCAAAGTATAATACATTTTTAATATGACTTTAGGTCTACAAATCTTTATCTTGATTTGATGCCATCGGGCTATCGAGTATCCATACATTTTGGCACTATTCATTAAAAATGTATTATAAGTAATATTTTTTTTTTGGTGAGGGGGATTCGGGGCTAGATTTTCTTTATTTAAATCTATCATTCATTAGTAAATGAGTGTAAAACAAACAATAGAAAAAATAATACTTCTAAAAGCAAAGCTTATTTAATGGAAAATAACTGATAAAAATTGCCATTTATCTTAATATTGCAGGGTTTAGCTCCCTTTCTTTTATATAGAACACAATTTATTAATTAGCACTAAAGGTGCTAACTAACTAACTGTTTTTTGTTTTTTTTTGGATTCGTGTATTTGTTACTGACTATGAATAACTAGCCTATACAAAATTTCAAATTGATCCAAGAATGGGAAGAGCGAGTGACAATGTGTCAAAACGTAATAAGGAGACTAAATTCATCTAATTTGTATATCCAAATCTCTCATTTAGTAGCTTTTATTTCCTTTATTTCGAAATCAAACAAAATAATTAATCACCAATAATTAATTAACTAATTTTTTTAAATTTTCTCTTTGATTAATTCATGTCTTGTCAGGTTAAATGAATAATTGTGTAAAGTTTTAACTTGATCCGAGATTGGGAAATGGGGAAAAATAAACAGGTTAAAACTGTTTACCATACAGACAAACAGCAGACATAGTGAGACGATATATGCCTCAGAAAAAAAAAACTTGAAATGTAAAGGAATAACTTTGTGTGGTAGCCTAGGCTATATTCATTCTCAGTGTACTTTTTGACATCGTTATTCCTGTCACTTAAAATTTGTAGCAAGCGGACTACATTTTTGGCGGAGTGTTTCTATTGTTTTCTTTTTCTTTTTACCTTGACATATTGAGGACCGGAGCACGTAAAGCAATGACGCAATCAATACATAGATCTTTCTGTCAGACATGAGGCCTTTGTAAAATGAAGTCCCTTTTTTCGGTTGATTATAATCACCCCATCTGTTACAGGTGAATCTGAGCCTAGCTACTGTAAAGCGTTTAAAGTTTTGGTTTCTTGATATGAGGCCAGAGTCATTTTGAAAAAAAAAAGGGGAAGGCAGTTAGTAGCTGATATATGCACTTAATTGACGATATCTGGTTTCTTATACTTCTTCTTCTAGCCAGATTTTTGTTGCTGAACTGTAGGCTCTTTTGGAGTCTGCTCTAATAGGAAAGGTAGCGTGAGTGTTGGTACTGTTGGGCAGTAGTGA